TTGGCTGCGGCAACGGCTCCATTCAGCCGCCATGAGAGTGCACCGCACAGACACGCCTGAATTTTCGCTGTCATCGCCTGCGTGCGGGCGAAGCGAACATGCTCAGGGTCTTTTGAAAAAGGCTCCATTCAATTGTCAGGGGCATTGCAGAGTTTTCAGCGCTATTTATAAGCAAGTGCCAGCCCTCTCAGTTCGCATCTGCTTGCAAGCGCTCGTGAGCATGAGAGTCACGGTCTCCAGCGATTCTGGCAGGAACATGGAGATTGAAATGGAGCGCAACTCCGACCGCTTCCAGTTCTTGAAGTGGGCGCAGCAGAGCTTTCAGAACTTCAACCTCGTGTCACACGGCATGCAAGTTCTGACGTCCAATGGTTCAGTAGAATGAAAAGCATACGAAGCATGCCTGTATACGCAGCACAGCGGGGATATGTGGAGATACTGTCACCCGAAAGCTTCATGTGCTGTGTGTTTGTAAGCAATATAGTCTTACTCACCCAATGTGCCACAAGCTGGCAAAACAGCTTAGATCCCACAAGGAACACCAAGGTACGTACGTACGTACATACATACTTACATACATACATAAATACATACCTACATACATACACGCCCGCCTCCTTGGTGTGGGAGCAAGCGTGTACGTGCGTACATATGTACGAACGTGCCTAACTACATGCCTGCCCATCTACCTGCCCAGAGATACGCTGGAATGTACTTACGTAGTAACATACCTACTTACCCGGCCAATTGAGGTGCCTATGTAGTATGTGCGTACATGCATGTATACATTCCCCCCTCTCCCCCATTCTTTTTTCTCACGGGTATGTTCGCACGTACATGCCGCGTATACCTACTACCTGCCAATGTGCCTCCCCATCCTTGTGGTTCCCCCCTGCATGCACCGGCCGTAATTGCCACAGCCCGGGTCTTCGTTTGGGGCACACTCCGCATGATCTGGTTAAGTGGACATCATGCTGACCTCGGCGGGACCTTACTCTGCACGCGACCGCATCATCTCGTGGCAGACTGGAGGCCTTTACCGTCGATGCGCCAGCGCTCCTTCGAGCATCTGGCGAAACACACACGATTGTAAGATCACGCAAGCCATGCCCCTCATCGTTGTGGATGGCAAATGGTGCCTTCAGCTCAGTATCTGCCGCAAGCAGGGTAACGGCAGCAGTTAGAACAGTTCCCTGGCAAGCGGCTTTGCTGCGTGAACCGTCCTGTTCGCGGAAGCAAGCACTGCTCCCAACACTCTGTCCCTCCAGGGGACGACGAAGCTATGCCGCAGCTCGCCCATCGTGAGGTCCATTCGGACGGGCAAGTTGTCCTGGAGCACCAGACGGCCGAGCGCGTGTGGCAAGCCGAAGAGGCTGTGCCGGAAATTAGCGAGATCAACCTGCCACCGAAGCATGAGCCGCGACCGGATGCAGGCGACGCCTCCTGCAGCCAGGACGTGCGAAGAGGCACATCCGAGACGCGGACTGGACACGAAATGGAAGAACCGCATATTGACAGAGGGCCCCCTACGACCTTTGGGCGAGAACCAGGAATGTTCGTGAAAGTCGAGGAAATGTGGACACAAAAGCTCGCAAACGCAAGTCGCTGCTGGAGGACAAGGCGGTGAACGAAACAATGAGTGGCATCACCCCGAGGTTTGACGATGCCATGTTTACAGACAGCGGCCGAATCCATCATGAAGGAAGCCGCCGGCCGCCGCCGTCGTCTGCAACTGGTCGCCCAAAGTGCCGCCGGAGACCGGGTCCGGGGCACCGGAGTGGACGAAGAGCCACCTCAGGCTGCAGTCATGGAGGACATCAATGTGGCCCGACTCCGTGCCTTCGAAGCTAGCGACGACCTGCACCAGAAGATTTTGATGACACTCCAGCAGGCGCTTACCAAGATTATTGCAGAAGCGGGCAGGACTCTGCCTGGGTGTTGCTTGAAAAGCCTATGCCTAAAGAGTTTCGGAGGTTTTCTCTTAATGCAGATGGTTGGAAAAGCCTATGAACTCTCCGATTGTCTCCATCATATCAAGTATGATCTCATCGCCTATGGAGTTTTGGAGGCCTGTTCAGGCTTATCTCGGCGATCTTGCCGACAGAGCCTATGAGCTCTCTGACGTCGGTGGGCAGGTAGGTAGGTAGGCAGGCAGGAAGGTGGGTAGGTAGGCAGGCAGGCAGATGGCAGGTGGGAGGACAGATGCCCAAAACTATTTTCAAATGTACTACGTACCACAGAATATGCTTACGTACGAATATACGTACGCACCCTCCCCCGCCAATTGAGGTATATCTACGTCGTACGTAAATACGTACATACAAACATACATACATTCCGGAGCTACTATAAGCTGTACTTACGTACCCCCGTACCACCGATTTATAAAGCAGTACAAACATACGTATGTACCCCCCACGCATTGTCCCCCGCATTTCCCACATGTACGTACATCCGTAAGGCCGCACCCCTGGCAAAAACAAGTCGTGCATGCGAGCACATGCACCTGGACATGCGTGCATGCCTGCATAGATGTATACTTACATACATACATACATAGCTCCCTCATGCTTGCCCGTTCTGATGTACATACGTACGTACTGCAACTACGTACGTACCGGTACAGGAACGCATGTATGTAGGTACCCGGCCCCTGGGGTTCTTCTGTTAGACCCTAAGCCCTAAAACTGTCCCTGCGAGCTCTCCTCCCAATTACATCCTTTCCTCCCGAGACGAAAACACAACGAGTCGTAAGAGTTTAGGGCTTAAGGTTCAGGGTTTGAGGTTTGGTTTCGGCTTTACGGGTTTGATGTCACAATCTTTCGGAGACCACACAGCCCAAGCATCAACAGTCTGAAAGCAGTAAGCATGGGGTCATTTAGGGTGCAGTGTTCGGGATCCTCAAAAGCAGGATCTCACCTCTTCAGGTTAATTTCCGCTGTTTTGTTTACCCTACATCTGGAATGCCAAGCCTCTCAAGAAAAATCTTGAGCGGAATTTCTGAACCCGAAAAGCGTTCTACATGAAGCCGAAACCTAGAGACTTAACGCCCGCCCTCGACGGCTTGTTGACCACAAGCCTAAAGCCTTAAGCCAGCCCTAAATTAAATCCTGAGGCCCCCGGGCAGTGGCATCGTGCATCAAGTGCATTGCGAGCGGCTTGCAGAGGCCCCTATGGAATGAGAGCTCAGGAACGCTCGCAGTAGCAATGACGACAGTAGCTATTTGGTGTTCAGGGTTCGGGGTAGCACGTGAATCATCACGGCAACCACGATATGAATAGTAATCGTCAGAGAACTTGCAGCAGACACATTCCATGAAATGGCGCTACAATCATGTTGGTACGCAAGGCTCCAAGCTTGTGGTTGAAGCAGTTTTGAAGCCATGAAGCAACTAGCGGGAACCGTCCTGCTTACATTTTTGTCAAGAACAGTAGCAATCCCAACTCCCAGCAGCAACCATGATGCCAATGATAGGAATGCCTAAGTTCATACGTCGACAGCACACACTCGCGTACGAAGGACAGATCAGAGTGTGGGCTTGCCGATGTGTTTTGAAAGCTGCTCGGGCCTTGGAAGCCGCTGTAAAGCTCAAGCTCTAACCCTCAAAAGAAGCCCTGCAGCCTAAACCGTACAGGTAGCACTGGTCCAAGACGGGGTGGTGTTCCCTGATGCCTGCGTGGGCACAGACAGCCCCAAGCTCAATCTTCAGATGTTCTTCGATTATCTTCTAAACCTTAAACCCTACACCCTAAACGGGTTTAGGGTTTAAGGCTTCGGGCGTAGGGTTTAGGTTCCGGGGGCCAGTTTTTGAACTGGGGAGCTTCTTGTAGCAAGCAGGCGAGCTCTTGTGGCTTAGCGCTTAAGGTTTAGGCTAGGGTTTAGGGTTCAGGGTTTGGAGTTTAGGGTTTATGGTTTCGGGTAGGGTTTAGGGCCAGTATGGCTCCTGTTGCTACGGCAACTGGCACGACGGTCATGTGATTATGACTGCAGGCAACATTGCATCATTCCTGTCATGAAATTGATGCATGTCCTTGTGTCTATATCCTGAGCCCTACAAACCCTAAACCCTAAACCTTCAACCCGAAACCCCATAAGCCCTAAGTGCGTGAGATCTAGTGGACTGCGTACAGGTGTGCATGTACTTCACCGGAAGGCTGTTTGGCTGAAAAAATTGTGGCGCTTTCACTTTCGGACTTCGGTGCGAGTCATTCAACGTCGATCTTTACATTGTTGCTTCTCGGTGGTCTAAGGATATATTGGTTCGCTTATTGGTCTTGGTTTCGTAATTCACGTAGGTTATCAGCCGTAGCGGCTTAGGTTACTGGGCTTGTCTAAGGTGTGTAACCTTGAACTCTGTAGTCGTCAGCAATGGAGCCGTTAATCCGAAACCGGAGAATGGGCTTATCTGGCGAGCCAGAGGAGGTGAACACTGTTCGTGATCGAGAGTACGAAACAGCCTTGGGTCAAGCAGGACCCTTTGAGGATCCTGCCGCCAGTACCGGTGGTGTCTTGGCGGGTGGTGTTGCTCCGGGAGAAGTTTCTCCGGGAACTCTGGAGTCTGGCGGTTGCCCAGGCACCAATCATGATTTGGGTTTACCTATCGCCAGTCCGTTTCATAGCGAACGGGTGAAGGAAGAGGTAGCCCTTCGCAGGCAAAGGCCGGTTAATTTGGATGTGGAAGCTGTGAGGCTTGGAGTGGAAGTCGATGAGTCGGCGCTAGGAGATCCTTCTGGGGGTTCGAGTTTGCGGGAACCGGACTATGCTGCTTCGTTTGGTCCAGATGATGCTCCTAGGGTGGCAAGGGTGGAACCTGCGAGTGAGGGTGACCTGGGGGCAGTGGAAGTTGGCTTCCAGACTGTAAGGATGGAATCACCTTCGGCCACTGGAAAGGGAAGGGGAACTCCTTCAAAGAATACCAGATCTGAATTCCAGGGTCGCGGTATAGAGGAGATGTCCCATGTGGTGGCTAGTGATGATTCAAGGGAGTTGATTCCTGAAGGTGAATCTCGCCTGCATAGGGTCGAGTCGCTCTTGGCGCAAGTTATGGAAGAGAACAAGTTGTTGAAGGCTAGGTTGCAGACTGAGTCGCATTCCAGTTGGCATAGCCAGAGGACGGCAACAGGGGAAGGTACTGGAACTTGTTCTCCTGCATCATTTGCGCGAGGTCATGAGCATTTTAATGTCGCTGCTGCGCTGGGTGTACAGTCTGGTCAGCCAAGTGTCTTTCCGGAATTCCCAGAAGTCCTAAGGAATACAGAACAGAGGACTGGGTTAATGGATTCTGGGTTCAGTTTGTTCCCGGGACAACAGTCTGCACTGCCTCGGGCAAGCTCTCAACAGGCCTCTTCGACCCGACCGCCTAATCTTCCTGAATGGCTTCCTCAGGCTGGTTTTGGTAGCTTAGGGGCTTTAGGGGCTGCGGGGTTTGCTAGTGTTAGTGGAGGGGAGCCCACAGGGCATTTACCTCTGCCTCCTCCGACTGGGGCAGTATCCAGAGTAGCCGATGTTCCAGCTCCGGTGACGATGCGTCAGTTTGCTGCAGAAGTTTCTGGTGGAGGACTTTCGGTTAGGGATGAGTCTGGTTATGTTACGCCGAGGGCTGGTGAAGTTAGTTATCCTGTGTCTCCAGGGGGGACGGTTATTAGACCACCTCCTGGTCCTCCACCAGCTTCGCCTCGAATGATTGCAGACAGAATGCCGATGGATTTGGGTTCAGCGGGATTGGGAGGCTTCAGGGATATACCTACTGCGGGTATGGGAGATACAGTGAGACCCGAGGAGCCTGCTAAGTACATTAATGAACTTCCTAAGCTTAATCAAACGGAGTTGTCTCAGTCTGCGGTTGTATGTGGCAATTGGTTGGCCCAGGTTCGTCAAATAATGGTAGGGCTTTCAACTAGCGCTGGTGTATGGTGGCAGGGTGTTGAAGGTCCAGCTACTGCGGCGTATAGGAGGTGGTTGGTAGCAGATCCTCTTGGAAGGTTGAGCATAGACCCGTCTACTGTGAAGGGTGAATTCGACTTCCGATTGTATGGTAGGGTTGAAAGTAGAGCCGTAAGTTTGTTGCTCGCGTCTGTACCACAGTCCGTGCGCGATGATGTGGTGACCAACAGGTGGTTAACTAGCGCGGCGATATTGTTTCGCATCTTGTGTCTCTTCCAGCCTGGTGGGTCAAGTGAGAGGTCACACTTGTTGTCGCAGTTGGTAGGCCCTGAGGCTTGCAAGAGTTTTGGGGATGCCATTAAGATTTTGCGTAAGTGGCAACAGGGACTGCAGCGTGCTGCCGAAATACATGCAACGCTTCCGGACGCTTCGTTGTTGCTTCGTGGTGTTGACAACGCGACTTCGGGTCTACTTACCGCGCATCCGATGATTGGCTTTCGAGTTAATGCATTCAGGCATCAGCTAGCTATTGATTACAATCCGACGGTAGCGGCGGTAATGCAACTCGTTAAGCTTATTCAGGCGGAATGTGAAGCCGCGTCTATTACTTCTGAGGGGTTAGGGGAGAAACGCGCTAGGACAGCAGTTTTGAGTGCTGGTAGAGAATCGGTTGCTGCGAAGTCGGTTCCTACTCCCCCTCCACCACCCAGTGTCGGTGTAGCGGCAGTTAGTCCTGCTAACGGAGAAGGGAAGGGCAAGGCTACAGGTAAGGGCAAGGTTGGCGAATCCGGAGTGAAGCTGTGTCATAAGTTTGCTGATGGTACCGGGTGTCGGTATGGTGATGCATGTAACTTCAAGCATGATAGGACGCGGGCGCGCAAAGAGAACAAGTGCTTGGCGTGTGGGCAGGCGGGGCATTTTAGGCCAGAGTGTAGTTTGGTCGCTCCTGAGAATAGGCTTGTTACCACGGAGGCCTCAGGATCGGAATCGTCTCCTAAGGCATCGTCTTCCGGTAAGGCTGAACCTAAGGGTAAGGCTAAGGCCAAGGCTGCGGCTTTGAAGGGGGTTACTGATGATGCTAAGGGTGAGGTTGGAGCTACCGGTTCACAGTCTGCAAACACTGCTGGTGTTAATCAGGAACAACTCCTGGCAGAGGCGGCCAAGTTGCTAAAGGGAGTCACGCTTAAACCTGTGCGGGTTGAGGATGATGATGCCGTGTCGGATGTTGAAATTGATGGATCTTGGCTTGTGAGTGCCATTACTAGCGCGTCGGATGCTAGATACGCTCTGGTTGACTCGGGCGCTACTAATGCCTTAAGACCTGCCTGTGAGGAGGAGTTGGTCGAGGGGAGAAGGATTAAGGTTGATTTAGCCAGTGGCGAGGCTACCCTTAGCATGAATAAGTGGGGCACTTTGCTTCATGACGGAGTGTGCCAGGTTATTCTTCCGGCGGGTTATTTGGTTGAGCTTGGGTATGCAATTACCTGGAAGCGGAAAGAATGTAAGATTAGGCATCCGAAAAAGGGGGTTTTGAAGGTTACCGTTGTAAAGGGTTGCCCTTTGATACCTAAGGAGGTTGGGCTACAACTACTGGGGGAGTACGAGGCTTGGAAAGGGAGGGGAGTAGCAGGCGTAAAGGTTCTGGGTGTTGAAAAGGACAGCGTGGTCCTAAGCTGGAGTGATGCGCGCGGTTGGCTCCGTGACAGGCTACGGGCCTGCGGGGTACAAGGTCTCACTGCGAGGGATCAGCTGTTTTTCCTGCGTGCCATGTTTCCCTCGGTTCCGGAAGAGTTGCTCCTAAGGGTTGTGGTGTCTCCTTTGGGTTCGCATGAAGTAGATTGGGCTGAGCTACCTTGGAACAGGAGGTTTAGGAGGTCGGTTAGGAAGGAACCGAAGGGATCCCTCTTGATTCGTGTTGCTGAGCGTCCGGCTAGCTGGAAGGGCTGTGGTCGGGTAGTTTCGGTGTCAGGGTCGAGTTCGGGTTTAGGTTCCGAGCCGGTGTTTCGACAGCTGGTCAGGTGGGCTGAGTCTGGGGTCGTCGGGGGTATGGTTTGTAGTGCTGGGGTCTTTGGCGAAGGTTCATTTGGGCCCGAGGCTGCCGGTGCTATGCTTGACCTCGAGCGTAAAGGTGGGTTTTGTGGTCTAGGTGATAGAGGCGGTGTGGTTTCGATTGGGTGGTTGAGGTCCGTGCTTCTTTTTACTATCTCTCAGGCTGCGCGTGAGCTGAGTGGTGACGGTGGCTTGAGTGAAGCGGATGATGGTTGTAAAGAAGAGGCTGGTCCTCAGGAGCCACCAAGTGACATCAATGATCCTCGGTCACTAGCTTTGTGGGCTATTAGGACTGCTGCTGCAAGGTTGTCTGATAGACGTGAGTCGTGCCAGAAGAAGCAAGCGTCCGAGGTTTCACCCGTTTTCTTCCTCCTAGAAAACCCTCCTGGCTCATGTACTCAGGTAAGTACAGGTAAGTATCCTTGGCCCTGGTCGGAACAGAACCTGGCTAGGTTGGTTGAAGCCTACGATCTTAATGTTGCGGAATTGTCTATGGTAGGACAGAAGCCGGATGATGTGGTAAAGGCGGTGTGGGTTACTACTTCCTGGTTTGTGTTTGAGCAGATTCAGGGGCTTGAGGTTTCAGTGGCAGGTGATGTGTGCAGTAGGGGGCATGGTTCTTGGCCCGTTGGTTTACTTAGAATTGTTCAGAGATCCTGGCTTGAATGGAAGGACGAGTGTCATCGCCTTTCAGAAGTCGCTGAGCGAAAGCTTCTTTTGAGTAAACTTACGGAGCAAGAGGCCCAGTCATTGCATGAAAGGAATGATCATGTTCCCTACCGTAGGGGTTGTGAAATCTGTATCAGCTCCCAAGGCCGACAAAGAGCGCATTGGAGGAAGTCTTTTACTAATATCTACTCGGCTAATTTTGATCTGGCAGGGCCTTTCGTTCCTGGAAGGAGTTTTGATCCGGTTGCATCCGGTAGGGATAGAGGGCTGGGTTATAGGTATATGCTGGTGTGTGCTTATACAATTCCTGATTTAGCTCGGTCTGTCGGAAAAGAAGATGATATTGATCTGGAGGTTTATCAGTCTACGCCGGACCCCCCTGAACTGGAGCCTTCGGACGTTGAAGTTATGAAGGACCTGGATGAACTGCAGTGTTTGTTTGATCCCTCCGAGATTGTGGATGATTTCGTTGGTGTTAAGGTTGTTGATAGGCGGGTACGGAAAAAGGGTCCCGAGCTTGGGCCATCTTCTGCTGATTTAGTGCCGAATAGAAGCGGTGGGTCCAAGGAAGATGACCCCAAAAACCGTCCTAAGGTTGTAACCCGTTCCCTGTATCTCGCTCTTCCACTTCGTACAAAGAAGGGTAGGGAGGTTTTAGGTCAGGTGCAACGCTTGATAAATCGTTTAGAGTCCTCTGGATTCCCTGTACACCGTTTCCACGCTGACCGTGCTCAAGAGTTGAAGTCAGCTGGACTTGTGGCATGGCTTCGGGATCGCGGTATCCACCATTCGTGGACACCGGGGGATACACCTGCGAGCAATAAGGCTGAGTTAGCTGTTCAACAACTGAAAGGGTCGGTTCGCAAGCTGCTGCAAGTTGGCGGTTTCCCTGTCAGTTTTTGGCCACTAGCCGCTCTTCATGCTTCGGAAAGAAATTGGTGTTGTATGTGTGAGTTCCTTGGTCGAGCCTCGGCTACGCTGTTACCCTTTGGTCTGCGGGTACATGCGCGGAAACGCTTTAAGACAGGCTATGACTCCCATTGGCGTACGCGGACTGAATCTGGTCGTTATCTTGGACTTGCGCCGGATACTCCGGGTGGGCATTTAGTGTGGGTTCCAGGAGGTGATGCCGACGCTGATGGTAAGGTCTTGTTGACCAACACCATTTATCCCATCAAAACTGAAACGTCTCCGCCTCGCAAGCCGAAATACAAATTGAAGGGTAAGCGCTCTCCTCATTTTGCCGTGAGGGTGGTAGCTGCGACCTGTCTTGAAGTATCTTCGGAAGTAAGTCTTTCCAGGCTGTCGCCTGGGGGGGAGTGTACTTCCGAGCATGTTTTTCGCATTTCGAATTTTGATTCGATGCCTGATCAGGCCGGAGAAGATGATGTCAGAGATCTTAATTGTGCTGAGGGCGAGTCTGAGTACGAGGATGGGTTTGGTGTGGTTGGTAAGCTCGTTCATGGGTTTGACGAGCAGTGGCTTCAAGAGAGGGTGTGTAATGGAGATTTGACCCCGGCTGAGTGTGAGAAGGTCCTACAAACGTGTGTCGGACTCCTGCCTCCAGCGCGTCGAATTGTGCAAAACGAAAGAGGTCGTGCTGTCCTTTGTGGACTTATGGTCGGGGTGGTTTTCACGGGATCTCAAGGTTCACTCGTGAGTACCCTTTGGTTGTTATGTATCTGAATAAGTTTTTGAAGGCCCAAGTTCCTGAGGGTTTCTGGACCACTATATACTTGTCTCAGAACACGAAGATGCCTGTGCGCAGGGATTTGGTGAATGCCCCTGGTTTTCCCATCATTGTTAGGGCTGTAGGAACCTTTAAGGGTGGAGGTCTGTGGCTGGAAGGTAAGGATGGGAACGGCCCAGTCTGTAAGATTCTTCCTGATGGGAGTAAGCGGGCTGGTGATGTTAAGGACATAGGTTTTTCACCGGTGGCATTCTTAGGCTCTAGGTGGCATGCTTCTGAAGATTGGGAAGGGGATCGTTGGGTAATTTCAGCCTTCGTCCCTAGGGACTTTAGGGTAGGCTTTGAAGATAGCCGGGATCGGTTGTTAGAGCTTGGTTTTCCGGTGTCTGAGGTATCCTGTGAGGATTCCGAGGCTTTGAAATTAAGCTCTGTGTGCTGTGAGCTGGATGGTGAACTCCAGACTGATGGGTTCTACAGTAAGGAGATGTGGGATGTAGAGTTTCCTTGTGAAGTCCTTGATCGCGAGGGGCGATCCTTTGCTATCCAAGAACATTTTGATGCAGCGTGTCTGTGTAAGACTTTGTCCAGGGAGCTTAGTGGCCCGGAGAGTAACTATGAGATAACTGAATTCCTTGGGGAGCTCAAGATTGCTGAGGATCGCAGAGAATGGTATGAGGGCATCTTGTGGAGTGGGTATCTTGAGTCGCCTCATGTGTTAGTGAAGGCTCTGAACCGTGATATTCCTATCTGTGAGGAAGAACCGATGCCTGCCGCCGAGGTGTTTCTGCAAACCAGGACAGTTAGTATTGCTGAAGCAAGAAAAGAGCTTTCGTTATGGATACCTGCAGCTTCCGAAGAAATCGCCTCTCTTGAGAAAGTTAATGAGGCTGTCGAAAGAATCAATGTTTCTGATCTTGAAGAATTGGCAAGAGGTGGTAGGAGGGTCCTGCAGGTACCTGGCAAGGCAGTACTTACTCGCAAGGCTGGAGTGGGTAAGCGTAGGTTCCGGTGTGTAGCTTGCGGAAACTATGTGCCTCAGAACGCTCATGATCCCTCCGATCTTTATGCCAGTGGCGTTGAAGGACTGACGGTGCGGATTGTGTTGGCTTTTGCTGCCTACCATGGTTGGGCCTCGTTAAGCGCTGATATACGTACCGCGTTCTTGCATGCTCCCTTATCGGGAGAACTGGAGTCGGAAGAGGTTATTATCGTGAAACCGCCGTCGCTGCTTGTCGAGATGAATTTGCTGTCGGCTGACCATAGGTGGTTGGTACGGAAGGCCCTATATGGGCTGAGACAAGCTCCGCTTGCCTGGGCCAGGTTTCGGGATAAAACTCTTCATGCACTAACTTTTGAATCCGGAGGAATAACTTATGGCTTGAAGCAGGGTTTGAGTGATGATTCGTTGTGGTTCATTGTTTGCCCTGGGAACAACAGTGGCGATGGGAACTGTTGGTATGGAATCCTGATCATCTATGTCGATGATTTATTGGGTTTTGCTCCGGCCTATCTTTTGCAGGCGCTTTTTGGAGAAATACAAAAGTTATGGAAGCTTTCCGAGCCCCAATGGGTTAACGAGGATGGTGTGGTGACCTTTTGCGGAATCGAAATACAGGCGATTAAGGGTGGTGGCTTTCGGATATCGCAGAGGGCATACCTTAAAGAACTTTTTACAAGGTATGAAGTTCAAGGAACAGCCAGTGCGCCCATATCGCAGTGGGTCGATCCAGATGATGAACAACCGCTTAATCCTGATGTTGTGCGCGAGGCTCAAGCCTTGACTGGTGCCCTCTTGTGGGCTTCAACAAAGTCTCGACCCGATATTTCGTTTGCTGTTAGTAAGCTTGGGCAGTTCTCTGTAAAGGCCCCCAGTGTGGTCGTGCACAGAGGACATCAGGTGTTGAGGTACTTGAGCAGTACAGTTGATTTCTGCATAGAGTATGTCAGGCCGGTTGGCGCTCAATGGGCTGATGCGCCTGTGCCTCGAAGCCTCACCACCTTGGAGTTATATTCTGATGCATCGCATGCCCCAGAGGGCGGTCGATCGTGTCAAGCGATTATTATTCTATGGCTTGGGATGACCATATGTTGGGAATGTGGCAAGCAGCCTTTTGTTACATTGTCGTCGGCAGAGGCTGAGCTGGTAGCAGTTATTGCTGGAATTGTGGCTTCTGAATCTGTTGGTGGAGTGATAGAGGAAATCATCGGTGACGACGTCGTAATTTCTGCCTTGTGTGACAATCAAGCATCGGTTCGAGCATTTGCTAATGGGAATCTTGGGTGGCGAAATCGCCACCTGCGAATGAGAGCGGCTGCAGGCCGTGAAAGGATACAGGCAGGTTCTTTGGTCGTTACTTATGTTCCTGGATCAATCCAACTGGCGGATTTGGCTACGAAGGCATTGGCAAGGCCGAGGATTCTGGAGTTGCTTGACCTCCTGCACATTCGTTCCGTTCCAGATGGGGAGACAAATGGGGAAGGCGGCAGGATCTTGAGCAGGCTTGTTTTTGAGGGATTTAACAGACCCTTGGTAACGCCTCAGGCTTTAGCTGGTTTGGCACTGATTGCTGCTATCCCTCGGGTGCGGGGACAACCCAATGATGACAGACATGAAGTTGCGATTCAATGGTTTGGTGTTGTGACAGGACTTGTTGTTTTATTTGTAGTCTGGCTTTGGGTTTGGTACCTCTTTGACTGTTTTGAGAGGGGCCTTGACTCTGAATGCTTAAGTGAACTTAGGAATTTGGATGACTGGCACGAGGAGTTTGGGGTTGCGGAAGTTGCTGAACCCCACGCCGCTTCTGGGCTTAGTGGTCAAGGGAATGTTGTACCAGGCTCCAATTCGGATGACGAATTTACTGAGGAAGAGTGGTTAGTAGCGCAGAGAAAACTGCGAGAGGTAGAATTAAGGACCGGTCTCACTTTCGTTCAACGGGCAAAGTTAAGACGTCAACTCCATGCCGGTGGAGTGATAGATCCTCCGAACTTCCTCCAGAGATACGGACCAGCTCCTAGTTGGTATGCCGGGGCTCTTGGGGATGGGGAGGGCGACGGGGTAGTTAGTGCCGGTGCTGAAAGTTCATCCGTTACCACGTCTGCGCGCCAAACCAATTCTGCTATAAGGCCGTTGAGGGATGAAAATGACTGGTCTGCCATTCAGGCTCAAGTTGCGGAAGGTAGCGGTGGCCATTTGTTTGTCCATCCGACGGTGATTGAGGAGATGTCTGAGGAAGGAGAAGACCTCGAGGAGACTGGTGATGCCGGACCGACTGATCAGGGGGAGCGGCACCTTTCCGGGGGTTTTTATCTCTCTGAGTTCTTTAAAACAGCGATGTCTCACATCGTTTGTGAAATTTTCAGTTGCGTCGGTCTTAGGGGGGTCAATTGGGGACTCTTGCGAGCAGTCTCAGTAGGGTTCTGGAATAATCCTGTGTTGGCGGTTTTGGGTCAGTTCGCTGATACTGGTAGGTTTCGGGCGGTTTTGAATGGGTTATCGTATGTGGTGGTTCTGAGGTTTGTAAGGTCTAGAGAAGAAGGAGTATGGTTACCGGTGTCTGTGCAGGCTGAGGAGGTTGATTGGATTTCGTCCAATCCAGATCCCCAGAACAGAGGGAGTTCAGGTCGCACCTCCAATCCAGATCCACAGAACAGGGGGAGTTCAGGTCGCACCTCCAATCCAGATTCGCAGAACAGGGGGAGTTCAGGTCGTTCCTCCAATCCAGATCCGCCGAACAGGGGGAGTTCAGATCTTGATTCCAATTTAGATTCGCAAGCCAGGTTGAGTTCTGGTGGGCTACGGAGTTTTGATCGTCAAGGTTGGGGTAGTTCCAGCAGTGGAAGCCGAGTGTGTGTTCCCACGCTAGTCTCTGGTCCCTATAGCCGTGGTCATGTTAACGATTTGCCTGCACCTTTTGAGCGTCCTGCAAACGTTCAGGTTGGTGGGAGTTCCAGTAGTACCGATGTTCATGTTGCGTCAAATGTTCAGGGTGCAGGATCTGGAAGTCATGGGTTCAACGCATCGCATTGGGAAGAGACGTATGAGGACTATTTTTCCGAAGGTGATAGCCTTGAGGATTTTCCGCTTGTTGGGGTGTGGCTTAAAGTACACTTTGTTGCTCAGGTCTTCTCGATCCAGGGGTCTAGGGTCCTCGGTTACTTGGGTCATAGAGTCCCCGAATGGGCGGTAGTGCGCTGCGCGTCCATTGCCTTTCGCTATGCATTGATTGGCACTGTTGCTGATATGCTGAGAGAAGGACCATGGGCAGCTTGGTTTCAGGGTCCCCAGTGGCATCAGGCGGTTGAGGAGTATATATGCTCGGGTGAAGTTCCGGGTTATGTTAGTGGCTTGGTTGGGCCTGATGCTGCTCAAGCGTATGTGCAAGCCGAAAGCGAGTCTTCTGAGGATCGCCAAGACGATCCTATCCTTGATGAGTTTCCGCATGTTGCTAGGGATCCTCCGTATCGTATTGGGAGGTTGGTTGATGAAGAGGGGAGTTTGAGTGGTGAGTCTAGTGACAGCTCGACAGTTGAGCCATCGGACGCGACTGAGGATGCTGGCTCAGGTGATCCTGTGGTTAGGGGTTTTGTAGGAGACCGGGATTTAGACCACGGGACACCTGGGGGTCTAGAATATCAGGCTGGTGAAGGGGTTCTTCTAGTTAACTACGGGGATGACCAGGGAGAGGTTTCCTTGCCGGGCTGGACTGGAGAAGGGATTCAGGGTGTAGCGGACTCTTTGAATTCTGGTGACTGGTCGACTTTCGATGGTATTGTTGCTCAGGTACCTATTGAGGATCGTGAAGGACAGTTGAGACAAGGGGTGACACGTCGTGGGAGAGTCAGGTCTTGGTGCCGGGCTGTTTGTTTGGGAATTTTTATTGGGTTTGTTTGTTGGTTCTTAAGGTGGGGGTTTCCTCAAGCGCATGCTTTTCCTCATGAGACGTGTATGAGTCCTACTGGGCCAAGCCAGAGCATTCAACTGTATCGAACCGTGCCTGAAGCAGAAGAGGAAGTTGTCTCTACGGAAGTTCTGTCTTGTGACTGTGAAGGGTTTACTCTGTGGTTGCTCGGATGGTCTGTTGCATTGCTGGGAGTCTGGGAATTTCTCAGAGTAGTGGCCTCAAAGGCTTTGAAGATCCGGAACAGACCTTGTGACGAAGCTACACAAACCTCCGGACAGTATGTACAGTTTCCTTTGTCCGAGGCTGTGCCCCGTAGGGCAAATATTTTATACTGCCTCTGGAGAGGGGGTCACAAGATCGACATAGAGCTTTATTCTGAAAGGATTAGAACTGAGTTTGAGGGTTACGTTGGGGCCTGGCTTGTGAGCCAAGAGGAAGGGTTTGTTTCTTCTGCGAGTTCCTCAGACTGATTCCTTTCGGATGTGTTGACTGCGCCAGTCCCTATTATTGGGGATTATCAAGGGCCCACGTGTCTTGCTTGACAGCCTTGTAAGGGAGACTGTGATTTCCGGGAATTCTGGTCAGTAGTGCCAGGCTTTTACAACAACCTTAGGTTGCGGATTCCCGGTGGTCTTGGTTCCCTTTGTGAATGTGCTTTGGATGCTGCGAATCGCTCAACGAATTCTTCGAAGAAGGCCCCCGTCTTTAGATACGGGGATCGGGGCGTTTTCTGGCAGTTTTTGTCCTTACTATTTTGCTTATGCCAGGTAGGTGATGTCATGTGGAACAGTGGACACTGATCTCGAAGCATCTTTTAATTATGTTTTCCTCAGCTCCGGTCGGTCTTTCTTGGAAGAAGACCGAGGGGGAGTGCGTGAGATCTAGTGGACTGCGTACAGGTGTGCATGTACTTCACCGGAAGGCTGTTTGGCTGAAAAAATTGTGGCGCTTTCACTTTCGGACTTCGGTGCGAGTCATTCAACGTCGATCTTTACATTGTTGCTTCTCGGTGGTCTAAGGATATATTGGTTCGCTTATTGGTCTTGGTTTCGTAATTCACGTACTAAGCCCTAAACCCTAAATGTTAGTGGTGTTAGGTTTTGTACCGAAGTCTTTAACCTGTTGGCGCCCGACCAGCTGCAGGCTTGGTTTACGTGTCATGTCTTCGTTGAGAAAGGTTTTCTGTGTCGAGGATAGGGTTTAGGGTGTAGGGTTTGGGGGTTTAGGGCTAGTGGTGTCGTGGCAAGGTTCGTGTGTTCACGCTTCTACAGTGGGGAAGCTTGTAGCATTTTCCCCTTTTTTGGAGCGTTCTAGATTCACGGTTGTTCCGACCTTGTTGCGTGTTGGGTCCGACAGGGCTGAGTGGCTGTGTTGTCTTTCGACCTTTTGACTTCTCTTTAGGGTTAGGGGGTTTTGTGTCTTGAAATCCGAATGTCAGTTTGTTGCAG